GTGTCAGAGTAGAACTGTGCCCACAGGGTTCTCAGTGGATGATTTTTCATAAGTAGATCCCATTCATGATGCCCCCGTGTGTGTCAGAGTAGAACTGTGCCCCACAGGGTTCTCAGTGGATGATGTTTCATAAGTAGATCCCACTCATGGTGCTCCATGTGTGTACAGAGTAGAACTGTGCTCCACAGGGTTCTCAATGGATGATGTTTCATAAGTAGATCCCACTCATGGCGCCCCCGTGTGGGTCAGAAGAGAACTGCGCCCCACAGTTCCAACTCATTACAATCCTTTATTGGGTTTCTGTGGAGCAGCTGGTGAGCTTGAACCGTCGACCTGATGGTTCAAATTGACTTGCAGGCCGGCAGCACACACAGCACTCTTCTGGCTGATTTTTAAGAAGTAGATCTCCATGCCTTTGTTCAGCGGCACACGGGGTGTACTGAAACTTCCAAGTTATCTATGAACAGGGTGTTAACCAGATTACATCCCGGGACTCCAGGTGTTAAGTATACACCCATGCATAGAGCCCTAGCTCCTTTCATTGGGTTTCAAGTAGTGGGATTTTTACAAATTGAAGGTGTCTTGCTTCACAAGACCAGGGTAAGGCCCAGTAGACCCTCTCCCTGGGATTTCCGACGCTCTCCGTCTTTATGGGAGCAGACAGTCTCACCTGTGTCCTGTCAAAGTTCTACTTAAGCTAGACCGTCATCTATTAAAGCGCCCTGGTGGTGCAGAGGGTTAAGTGTTGGGCTATTAACCAGGAAGAAGGTGGTTTGAACCCACGTGCCGCTCATGGGAGAAAGATGAGGCTTTCTGCTCCTGTAAAGATTTACAGCCTCGGAAGCCCTACACAGGGTTGCTATGAGTGGACGGCAGTAGGGTTCTTGGCATGGTTAGCCAGCCCGACTCATCACCTGCGCCGGGGTTCTAACTGAGCCTCCTTCTCTGTGTTCGGTTTCTGATTTTCTGTCTCTGCCTGTCTCTCTCTGTCTCTCTTCTTCCTTCCATACCCTCTCTCTTAGTCTGCGTCGCCCTTTTATTTTCTAACTATCCTCACGTGAGACCCCCTCCTCTACTCTCCCTGGGAGCGTGCGCAGGGCTGGGGTCCCGCAGTCCCGGGCGCGCCTCCAGCTCACTGCCCACTTCCTGCAGGCTGCGCGCTCCTGATTGCAGGACCTGTGCTGGATGAGGAGAGGCAGACCACCCGGGCGCAGATCCCCATGTTGCTGCGGGCGCACAGCGGCGGGCGCACCACCCAAGGATATGAGCGCCTACTGCGCGCGCACGGCTTCCACGACGTGCGTGTTGTGCGCACCGGGGGCCTGCTGGACGCCGTCCTGGCCACAAGGTGAAGACCCTTCCTCCCCACTCCCGGCTTCGCGTGGAGACATTCTGCCGGTGGCCCACCACCATGAAGACGCTGTGCTCCTACTGATCGATCCCAGCAGTGGGGGTTCTGCTCTCTCCAAGCATGTGTGGTTATACCCACGTCTGGAGCAGCATGCGGACATACCGGGCCACAAGATTGATTAAAGACAAGTGAACTCAGCTGAGATTGTTTGGGGCGCTCTGGGGACACGTACACTGTAGGTCCAGGGGTAAGAGGGAGAGCCACAGACTCCCCCAAAGTGGCATGGCTGGGGGCCACACTCTATTTGGAATCCTCATTGCATTCCTGCATCAGGGGAAGATAGGAGGGTTCCGTGGCCATTTCTGTGCCAGAATGAGGCTCTCGTGGCCCTTGACTCTCTGTCCCTGTTGCTCCATTCCTAAGAAGCCCATCCACTCGGTAACAAAACGCTGACAGGTCCTGCGGCAAACACCACGAGCGCTTGTGGATCAGATCCATGTGGTTTTCATGGGCTAATTTTCAGGTGGAGATTACCAGGTCTTTCTTCTTAGTCTGAAATGGGTCCCAAAACACAACCACACACAAGCTTCCACAGACAGATGAGAGGCGCTGTGTTCATGAGAAGTGATGGTCAGGAATGGAACCAGGTCTGCCCCATGGCAGGCGAGGATTCGACCACCATACACCTCCCTACCTAGGGACATAATTATTACCTCAGTTTATATCATCACATGCTCTATGTAATTACATTACGGAGGCCTCAGGTTAAGGTTGAAAAAGGCTGTGGGAAATGGAATGCAAAGATAATGTTTTTTATTTTATTTTATTTTTCCACTAACTTTTTCAAAGCCCCCTCAGATTAAGTAGGTGTTCTGGTGTGGCGCTGCGGGTTAATGTGCTGGACTGCAAAGTCGTTTGAACTGCAAGGTCAGGGGTTCAAGTTCACTAGCCGCTCCTTGGAAACCCTATACAGGCTCGCTATGGGTCGGAACCGACTCCATGGCACTTCACAACAACAACAACAAATTAAGCAGATTGCCACAGTTCTCCCGTGGTTAGCAGCTAAGCGCTTTAACCATTTTTCTGCCTGTTCCCACTGGCCCTATGATCTCACCAACAAACCCCAAAGCAAGCTCGCCGATGGGCCCTATAAACTGGAATTGAACTGCCTCATCAGGTTTCCATGGCTGTAAATCCTACGGCAGTACACCGCTTCATCTCTCTCCCACAGAGCTGCTGGGAGATTCCAACCACCAACCTCTCTGTAGACAGTCAAACACTTTAACCACCGAGTAAACCGTTCTCCTTAAATAGAATCTTAAGCACCCTCGGAGGACGTCTGTTGTTGGCCTGGTGGATTAAGCATTGGCCTGCCAACTGCAAGGTCGGCAGTTCAAACCCAGCAGCCCCTCGTTAGGAGACAGGTGAGCTGTCTGCTCCCATAAAAATTCACTACCTGGAGAATCCTCTAGGGTAGTTCCCCTCTGTTCGATGTGGCTGCAATGACTCAGAAAAAACTCAAAAGCACTTTTTCTCATTGATGAAAACACAATTGGCATGTAAGATTTTTTTGTGGCTTTAAAGACAAGAATCCCAAAAGACAGACCTAGGGCCATGATGACCGGGGAGGCTTGGGGCCCTTTATCCGGACACCACTGGGAGTCACCTGGGGAAAGCGTACTCTCACCTTCCCTAGCAGATCTGGCTGAGGGACCCTCCCATGGGTACCTAAGGGACGGATGTGGCCGGCCCCTCAAAGATGTCTAGGGTAGGAGCACTCTCCACCCACGGAATTAACAAGCTCCAGAAAGTTCAGGGTCTTTAACCACTGTTCATGGGGTATCCTGGACACCAGGGAGGGCAGGGAACGGTGGGTGTGGAGTGCAGGCCAGGAGCTGTTAACTGAACCCCTGAATATCTCCTCAAACAGCAGTAGCATATCTGAGGGATGAGGGGGCTTCCCACACCCAGGCTGTGGGGTCTGGTGGGAGGGAGGTGACAAGACCCCAACTTTAATGACAGACCAGATTCCAAGTCCTCTCTGGCTGGTCCTGCTAGTGTGTCTGACCAACAGGTAGCCACCCACAGACTCAGGGCTTTGTGGACTGTTCTGTTTGGAACTCACCACTGAACACAAACTATCCCCTAGACTAATTTGGGGTATGATGGGGATATGGGTGCTGTCATATAAGCACTAGAATGCAAGATCGATTTGAATCAATAGTTAGTGGTTCAAAACCACCAGCCGCTCCTTGGAAACCCTACACAGGGTCACCATTAGTAGGAACCAACTAGCCAGCAGTTAACAAAAGAGACACAATAGATGACAGCCTAGGAAACCCTATGGGACAGTTCTTCTCCATTACACCAGGGGGCGCTGTGAGTGGATGATCTATAAGAGTATATATGAGTATATAGTGACACAATAGATGATAGTCTAGGAAACCCTATGGGCAGTTCTCCGTTACACCAGGGGGCGCTGTGAGTGGATGTGTATAAGAGTATATATGAGTATATAGTGACACAATAGATGACA